GCACAATACCCCTGTATATCACACCCCCAGAAAATACACACACCCGCATAGCGAGGGCTGTTGAGATGCTTATCCAGGGCCGCGGGGTCATAAACACCTGCGGTTTTGGCCCAGAGAACACAGGGTCTGACTGAAGGCTGCAGGCTGCTCCCTCCTTGCTCCCAGAAGGTTCATGGCCTTGAAGGGTTGAGCGTAAGGCCGTGGGGAGAACTCTGTGTAGCTGTGTCAAGGGCTTAGTGACCGATGTAAGACAACCTAACAGCTTTCGGCCAACAACCTCAGCAAACATGCAAAAAGTCTAGATTTGTGTGTGTAATATGCTATACAAATACAATACTGTGCCATGTTACTAAACTGATATTGTTTGGATCCTCAGGATATGAGCCGGTCGTTGTTGCCCTTTGGCAGTGTTGACAGCACGGTTAGTATTGTCGAGTCATCTGCTGTTCAACTGCACTGTTGTTTAAGTTTCTCATTTGAATACTGCCCAAATGCATGCTCTAACTCTGTAACCAACTCCACCCATTATTTATTGACTATAAGCAGTCAATAAAGTTGTCAAAGTGTTTCCTCTACATTCACAACAAATTTATACTATCATGCCAATCCATGTACACAATATTGCATTTATGATCATTATATTGTAAGAAATTATTTTAAGTCAGTTACAGTATAGTTGAATCTGAATCCTAAGCGTACTTCCTACCTGGACACTTGTAAAAGTGCTCTAGTACAGAACTATACTCTCAAGAAAAGTTCTTACTATGAAGAATAAAATACTGCATACAAAACATTAAACAGTGTAGTATATGCTAAAGGTTCATCTCTCCATAGACACAAAGGGTTAAAGTGTTATGTTACTTGTATTAGCTGGAAAATATATTGATTACATAGTCATTAATTTGAGAATAGTGAACACCCACACACAACGTCCAACATTAAATCAAGTCTTCACGTAAAGCAGATGTTTTCACCACCATGATATGTGCAGTGTTTTTCAATCAGCTGAAGCAAAGACAAGGAATCCAACTGAAATGAAAATGCTCAGCTTTGCATTGGCCTGTATGCATGCAAAGAAAAATGCAGTGTTTTTTTTTTAATTGTTGTGGAAACACAGTCTGAGTTTTGCAGAATCGATTGTGTGCTGCTTTATACTGCAGCATCTTCCCTCTTGTTTCTTTGACAAGATGAAGACTGCCTCTCTTGCTACTTGTACGTTGAAACCATAGTGATCTGCAGTATCTGTCTGTGTCTTTTTCGTTGCTGCACCCTTACAAAACAATGAAATATCCAATCTGATGCATCTTTGCATGCTGGTCATTGATGGCATCTGCGATATGCATGACTGACTTGTGTGGTGCACTGGGTTTGTACTGGCTCCCAGTGAAGCAAAGGTGGTACCTCAGTTGTGACCTACAGAAACTTTATTGATTTATTTAATAGGAAAATAAATGTGAATATGCAGTGGATCCTAAAAAAACTAATAGGAATGTGTGAGTTACATTCCAGTTATAAGAGGTGTTTTGCATCTGTACAATAGTGATTATAATGGGTTTTCTTGATTTAAACAATACAGTTGACATGAACGTCAACAAATATTATGAGCAAGATTTTTGTCTTAGGTCCAACCTCAATTGAACATGTAGCCAGACTTATGCATTTACCACAGTACTTTGCAGACAAGTTTTATTATTGACCACACAGACAGGTTCTGGTTAAAGTAACCCAAAGTGGAGCAAGTTGGCCATCTTTGAATTCTAAATAAAGACATAAGTATTTTCATGCTGGACTTGGTTTGTAGTTTTGTAATGAATGTTACGATGTCACATGTGGTAAGGTGATAAAATGTGAATGTCCTGGTTATAGTGCCCCAGATGGCACACATGTAAGACACATTTAGCTCACTGTACTGTGTGCGTGTAGGTTTGTACACATTATAGAGATGTTTATGAGCTGATAATGCCAAGCGACCATGTGGCATATGTGCCCAGCCCTTCAACTCGTCTTGCTCCGCTTCTCCTTTTGTGTTGGTTCAGGACATGATGATGAACCCATTCGGCATGTTCGACAACATGATGTCCAACATGAGAAACAGGATGGCAGACATGCACAGAAACTTTGTGAGTTTCATGATTTTGTGTTCTCTTCTGTTTGTTTGCTGCTTTCTCAGAGTGTTGTGATAGATAAACTGTAACTAACACTGTGTGCTTGTGTGTTTCAGGAGAACATGTCCACAGATTCAAACACCCACTCATTCAGCTCCTCATCAGTCATGACATACTCAAAGGTTGGAAATGAGCCTCCCAAGGTCTTCCAGGCGAGCTCATCAACACGCCATGCCCCTGGAGGGGTAAGCTACCCATCAGATCTGTTACTACTTCATATCACAGTACATTAGATCACTGCTCAGTACATTGAACTCAGAGAAGTTAATCTACAGATGACTCTACTTACAAGCAAACTTTTCTCACAGGGGCATATGATTGGTCTGTTCTGTTAAGGTCCACCAGAAATCATTTCAGTGATACTACATACATGATACCAGGGCCCTGGAACAGGCACTCCTAATTGGAATGCAGCCCTTAGTGCTATTATTAGCTATACTTGTGTTTTACCACTCACTCTGTCCAACTGCCTACTTTCTCACTGTTTTATGTAAGGAGTCAAATAAATATATATTATGTGCCTTTTTGTGGACAAACTGATGTGTCTGATGGGTTTAATAATGTTTTATCACAAGATCAAGGAGACACGGAAAGCAATTAAGGACTCTGAGAGCGGTCTGGAGAAGATGTCCATTGGTCACCACATCCAGGACAGGGGACATGTTGTTGAGAGGAAATTCAACAAGAAAACAGGAGAGAAGGAGTTAAACCAGGACTTTCAGAATATGGATGAGTGTATGTTAAATGACACAGTTTCCATTCCCTGATAGTCTGCTCTCAGCTCACTGAATTTTGCTTTTTTTTTTATCAAGTTGTTGCAGCAGCTACACATGGTCATAAATGTAGAGGGTCCTGCCATATGTGTTGCACTTCTCAAAAATGTATTTGCATGATAAAGCTATTTCAGAGATGATTCTAATTTTAGTCCACAGACTTACCTGACATGTTTCCTGATCCTTTATCCCCAGCTGAAGCTCAGACTTTTGACTATGAGTGGCAGCAGGAGGTGTCCAAGTTTGGGCCATCTAGCCCCATGTCCCGTCTACAGGAACCCCAGGCCCTAACCCATGGCGTTCACCGAGCAGCCCTCACCGGTCCTGAGCAGGAGCACAGGTCAGAATAACATGCTCAGACCCAAGAACAAGTGGCAGACACTGATAGCAGACACATACAGTATGCTTTGCTATATTGTGATATTTTATGAGACTGCAGTTAATTTAGCGTTTGAAGTGTGATTGTTTACCATGTGCTGTGTTCCCCACAGGGACCAACCAAAGGACAAGGCTAAGGGTAAGAGCAACATGAACGGCTCAAGCTCGACAAAGCAGTGAAAACATCTGTTTGTGCGCTTATTAAAGTCTTTCAAGCATCATGCAGTACGCCCCAGTGCTCTGTACGCATACACACACACACACACACACACACACACACACACACACACACACCTTGGTTTCATCATATAGAGAGAATCAGAAGACACTGACCCAGATTTTAGAATATTCATGAGGCTATACATTTTACATTACTGCTCCCAAGTTTCCAAATCATACTGCACAGTATGAACTGAAACCTGCTGAAAATAGCAGCCCTGTCACAGTGCACATTACTCTTACCATGTTGCTGTTACATACAGTGCAAGACTGACTGTACATCAACATGTAGTTAAGGTTGGCAGGCACTACTTCTATCATTGCACAGTAACACTCAAAGAGCAATTTAAATGATTTGGCATCAGATTAATGGGATTTTCTCTATGTATGGTATTGTGATGATGCCATCTGTTTGTCACATCATGTAATTTGCATAATGCAACAAGGCAGAAAGTGTTGTGACTTATCTACTGTTTGAAATCCACTAATGCACTTAGACAATGTCTAAATTATCCTCATGTCATTGTATTGTACCTGATGCTCTGGATATATTATTTTATCTGCTGTAATCTTTGTAAAAAGAAAAACCATACTCTACCCTTTTTATATGTTACTTCTCGTTTTTCATTTGATGAACTCTGTGCTGCGTGGCACGGTATCTTGACAACTGGATTATTCGCAATAATGCTAGCTTTGTTCTTGTATATTTTTCAAGCTTAAAAACAAATTGTGTCAAGGTAGACTATTGTCTGAAAATAAAGATATGAAAATATGAAGATTCGTCTGGTGTCATTTCTTTTATCAGTCCCAAAGTATTGCAATTTACAAGTGATAAACAGCGTTAATGAATAGCTGTTTCTTTGTATGTTACTGCTGACCTGCACAGAATCTGGGAGAGTGTGACTGTGTACTGTGATGAACCTCTCGTGCCTGTTCAGTAGTGACCCACAGGAGTATTTTTGGATCTAAGTGCTTGTCAGTAGCTCAGATTGGTTTGAGATGTTACACAGCTGTAAGCCCACCAGGCTCCCCTCTCACATGCTTATGTGTTTGACTTAATTAATCCCTTAGCTTCAACATAAAGATAGGAAGGGACCAAGGACCAATATATAGCTGAGCAAGGATTCAAATGTAAGTTGAGTTCTCAGTTTCTTGTCTCTGTTGCGTTTATGCAACATGGAGGATGAGCCATTTGTCTTAGGGTGTTGTACATTAACTCAAACTTACACAGGAGGGAGCATATTGGTCATTCATTGAGAAAAAAGCAATCTGAAGCTTTGTAAGGGATTGCACAATTCCGCAGCAGATAGTTAATATTGTATTGTCACTTCAGAACCTGCATCCACAACTAATGGGTTTTTGCTCTTATGAATCATGCTCTAACATAACTTCCTCCTCATCAGCTAAAGAGGTTATTGACTGACAGATCTTCCTCTATGCATCTTGAATAATAAGAAAACATCAGTATTGGTAGAAAAGTTTTAATATTCAATACAAATACGCTACAAAAGGATTGAGAATATCCAGTTGGCTGTTACAACTCTGCCGCCACCTGCTGGTCATCTGAGAACATGACTTTCTGTCCAGAATATTTACACAGTGCTTACAAGAAACATAACTTAAATTCAAAAAAAGATATACAGGATCTTGAGAAATTAATCACCCTCGTGACCACATCTGAGATCTGAGTATGGGACAGCCCCTTCTCAAAAATGTCACCAGATGTAGATAGAGCTACATGATTCCCTGAGGCTGTCCCTTCCCTGCGATCTTCTTGGAGCACTCCAGCAAAGCGTTGTGGATGTCTTTGGCACATGAGATCTGAGACTTGATCATGCCGAGGTACTGGGCGTAAGACATGGACTCTGTCTGCACCGTGTCCGGCTTGGTGGCTGTCGGGACCAGGTTGGGTGAATGTTTGGCGCTGTCGATGCTCTGGGAGAGGCACTCATATGCCAGCCGCTGCACAGAGGAGACAAAGCGTGAGTTTGTGTGGTGTATTTTGAGTGTAGATATAGTAGCATGTATTACACATAGACAACCACCTGGGCTACTGTACATAGTTTCACAGACAACCATCTCTAGGGTTTACAGAAGATGGCCCTAAAAAGACCATCTCTGAACCAACAACACATCCAACCTTGAAGCAGATGGGCTACAGCAGCAGAAGACCACACCAGGTGCCACTCCTGTCAGCTAACAACAGGAAACTGAGGCTACAGTTCACACAGGCTCACCAAAACTGGACAATAGAAGATTGGAAAAACCTTGCCTGGTCTGATGAGTCTTGATTTCTGCTGTGACATTCGAATATTAGGGTCAGAATTTGGCGTAAACAACATGAAAGCATGGATCCATCCTGCCTTGTATCAACAGTTCAGGCTGGTGGTGGTGGTGTAATGGTGTGGGGGATATTTTCTTGGCACACTTTGGGCCCCTTAGCACCAACTGAGCATGGTTTAAATGTGTCCATCCCTTTATGACCACAGTGTACCCATCTTCTGATGGCTACTTCCAGCAGGATAACGCACCATGTCACAAAGCTCAAATCATCTCAAACTGGTTTCTTGAACATGACAATGAGTTCACTGTACTCCAATGGCCTCCACAGTCACCAGATCTCAATCCAATAAAGCACTGTAATGGATGTGCAGCCAACAACTGTGTGATGCTATCATATCAATATGGACCAAAATCTCTGACAAATGTTTCCAGCACCTTGTTGAATCTATGACACCAAGAATTAAGGCAGTTCTGAAGGCAAAAGGAGGGCAAACCTGGTACTAGGAAGGTGTCCCTAATAAAGTGGCCGGTAAGTGTACATGGCTTTAACAGGGGGCCCGTTGCACAAAAGTAGGATTCAGACATCCAGGATAAATGACTGAGCTGGGTTCAACGAATCCAAAACAAGAACGTCCAGGCTTAATGGGTTGCACAAAGACCAAGCCAGGATGAGCAGACACGGATTCATCAAGCCAGGTGAAACCAATCCTAGATCAGTGCGCGCACGCGGCTTCCTCAAATAGACCCCGCCATCGATCACAGATTCACCGATTCACCATGGCAACAAGAGCGGCGTACTTTTCCCCGTCGGAGGCAGAAATCCTCATGGAGGCTTACGAAGAGGTAAAGGATCGGATCAAATCAAAAAGAAAGGCAACACCGCCACAGTTATAAACAACGAGAGAAAGCGTGGCAAAGTATTGCAGACCGCCTGAATGCGTAAGTAGTGCACAAATACACACTCACTGCTCCGCTGAAACCATCACAATTAGCCTACAATCCAAATGTTAATTAACATCTCCGAAAACGAAGTTGTACTCTGATTATGAATCAGTTGAAATTGTAAGTGAAATTGACTGCAGATGTGAGTGAAACTGTGTAAATGTAACTCCATCAGACTGTGTAACTCTTTGATAAATAGATGAGCTCAATGACTTAATTGAATTTCCCTTTGGGATAAATAAAGTTCCTCTTATCTTACCTTATCTTAGCTCCTCATGCTCCATGCTCCTCTGCTGTTTCATTATATGTATGCAATTGTGTGTGTGTGTGTGTGT